AATTTGCTAAGTCCCCCCTATTATTATGTTATCCTTCTTTTATTCTTTAAAATTTAAAAAAAAAGTAAATATGCAGCCTTTTCCACATAACTAGAACCTACTCTTAGTCAATAAGGGAGCTCTAGGAAGAATTCATCATGTGGTCCTATGTCCCCTCTCTGCAGCAACAGATTCTGTCAGCATGGCTGCAAGTGGCTAAGATGTCACCTAGCCACTAGATATTCATGTACCCACCCAAAGTTATAACTGAGAAAATGTTTTACTTCATGTATAACTTGACTCTTCAATGAATCAGGAGTGCCTGTCCCCTGCCATCATTCCCACTCATACTTACCAAATTACATTAACAATGTACTGAGTAAAATTGGTTTCCTTCTCTGGACTCCAAGTACAAGTTAAAGTCTTATAGTTGTATAAGACACATGAAATGTTCTCAGGTTTAGTTGGCAGAGCTAGAAAAGAAATCACACAAGTTTTGTACACAACATATACTACCAGCATTGAGTATTTTAAGGAAAATGGGCTGAACAATGCTAAATTTGATGGCTAGTTGCTGGGTATAATAGGTTTTACTAATCAGATTGATGAAAAGAATCTACATCTCTTCAACTATTCCCTCTAAAGAGTTGGACTTCTACTTATTAAAAAATACATTTATATTCTTACTCAAAAGCAACATTAAAGAAGCAAAAATTAAAACACCAGGCACTAAACACAGTGTCAGTGAAATTGTAAGTAAACGAGCAACTGATAGAACTATTCTGGATAATTGGATAATAGGTGATATGGGCATAAGACAAAAATATAAGGTGCTGAACTATGGCGCACCTTTATGCATCGATAATTTTCTTTTTCTAGAAGATTGTATATTAGAGAAATATCTTCATTTGTATTTTCATATCTTGTTTCTGATAGTTCCCTACTCAATCAGAAAGGCAAATTACTCTCCAGACAGGAAGCTAAGCCCTCAAAGGGTCCATAGGTAGAATTCAGGAGAGTATGAACTTTAATGGGAAAATTTATATATTTATTTTATATTAACATATTATTGAAATTTAGAATTCCCTTCTATCATGAACTTAGTCAACAAAATACATTAATATTATCACTACTTGTGACTTTGTTACCATTAAAAAAACAACTATAGTGTTCAACTGAGACTTACTGAGTTGAAAAGTAGTTCAGACTTGCTTTTATTTGCTCAATAACTCACGTGTATCTTTTCAGCACTTAATGTCAGAAAGTTTTTTCTACAAAATAACGTGGGGACAGTCCTTTAAGTTTTTAATACATTCCGAAGCTGTGTTATAAAACTACAATGAGCTTTACTAAATATAGCGTGGCAGTCCATTGGTTACTTCATGACTGCCACACATTTACAGATTAGTCAAAGATATTCACTGTATTTTGGTGGTTCATAGGATATTCTCCCAAGGCGGTGGTTCTTTAAGGCTTTCCTCTCCTCTCTGTACTCTAGGTTCAGGCACAGATGTAGCATGTCCTGCTCCCATTTTCCATAAGTTAATTGGGGTAGTAGTGCAGGTGGAAAGAAAATGTCAGGTTGAAAAGGGTATTCTCAGAAAAACTGTACTTTTGAGCTTTTTTTTCCTGAAGTAGTGCTCAAACAAATACAAAGCAAGACTTCCAAAGTTTAAATTGCCCAACTAGCATTCTGACAACCTAAAAACTGGTAAAGTAGCTCTTAGTGGATAAATGGAAACAAAAATGTGTGTTTCTTCAAAATTTCTAATATGATCACCAAGCTGTTTTTCAACATGCCTTATATTGCAGAATTGAGTCTGCACCTAATTTTAGAAATGTATCCCACCACTGTTCCTCACTTCTCTTTGCTCTTGTCTCTGTTCCTCTTTTAGCACACATCTGCTGCTGGCATTTAGCTTGTCTTCTTTCTTCAACTGTATACCCCAGAGTATTAATATAGAGAGAGACATTTGGACTGTGTGTGTGACCATCATGTCATACTCCCATGTAAAAAAGCAATGGCAGCCTAGCTACTTCAGGGGAGGATTTCTACACTTCCAAAGCAGATTTAGCAGATTAGAGTGAGTTCACGCTTTTTAGGTGCCACTTTAAGGTTCCTTAGCCTGGGAAAATAGCAACAGTTTATTTAAAAAGAAAGAGGACTCAGTCCTTTTGGTGAACAGAAGTCACCGTGGACCTTCAATAAGGACAATTTTAATGTCACAATAAAGGAGGACAGTGTGCAGTTCAATGGTTCAATAGTGTGCAGTTCAGTGGTTTGATTTATTTTTTGCACTGCAAGAATCATAGAAATTACATTCTCCACTGTATTTCACTTTCTTTTGGATTGCACTAATTGTTTTTGTGGGAAGACACTTTACCTGGAAAAGTAACTGAATATTTACTTAAGTAACTGAAAAAAAGAATATTTTCTCTAAATAATGATTATTTTCACAGTGGAAATTTCAGTATTTTATCACAATATATGAGCAGAGACAAATACCAATTTCAAAGTGCATGGGAAAATTTTTAATATGTGCAATTTAATATAGAAAGATTTCTGCCTGTTTGGCCAACAGGTTTTTGGTAGTATAAGTTAGGATAAATGTGCTTTTATATGCACAGATATTGGATCATCTAGAAATTGCTTTACAAATACTTAAAGCATGGTCCCCAGTAAGGCCAAGAAAGTTTCCAGTTAAATTCTTTTCATAATAATCCTACAGTATCTCTTATTTTTTAAAAAAATAATTTTGAAGAAACATTTTACTTGATGCTTTGCCAGTTAATGGTGGAGAAATACATGCTCAAGTAATATTTCATATAGTAAAGCAGTTATAAGGTTAGCTTATTAATAAGATATTAATGTTTGCTTTACTATTTAAGGGGGCCACCGATAAATTCACTTGTACTTCTATATTTAGAAATTGCAACTTATTTGCCCTAGATGAATTCTTTAGCATGTGATACACATTTCTGTTAATCTGTGAAAGTTTAATGTACTGGTAAGTTGCACTTTAAATAATACTCATATTATGATACCCCAATTAGACTTTTACAGCACTTAAACATTTATGTATTTATTAAGATTTTTGGCTTACAGGCATAAGAAGTGTAAGACACAGTTTTGTGGGTTTGTACAAGCATAAGCCTCGTTATTGACACTAAGGTTAGTTTCTTTAGGTCATTATAAGGGCTATCCACCCCCTATCATTAATGTTCCTCTTGCATTTCCACTCTCATGTTCACATTTAAGTATGTGAAACTGAGCTTGCCATAATTTATTTCCCTGTAAAAGGATTATACATATGAAATTTTATAAATATACTGTTTGTCTTCACCTACCACATAAAACTGGTTAAGAAGCCAGCAATGCCTCTGTGACTATCTTTATTCACAGAAGAAACCAGAGACTTTTAAGCCAAAATATAATGTTCAGTGCTATGGATTGGGGGTGGTGGGTTCTTTTTTGTCTCACTGTATATTGCCCCAATACAGTGAGATTTCCTTTATTCACAAGAGCACAACGTTTCAGCTTTAAGTGATAAAAGTACTTTTTAAAAATTCTACTTTGATTATAATGTCGCATCTTTGTGACTTTAAAAGGTAAATAAAGGGCTCAGATAGGCGACTAAAAATTGGCTTGAAAACAAGTTTGGTCTCACAGCTGCCGCTGTCCATGGAAGTCAGAGCTGTTTTCAGATTTAGGAATAGCACAGCACTGTCGGATCGCTGGCTGCAGTCTCATTTAGTTCCATTTCTTGCAGCACCGGGGTGTGCATTACCACGTGTGTATTTCTACAACACTGAAACAGCAGAGTGAGGCAAGACTGTAGATTAGCAGCGGAGGGGAAATTGTGCCTTTACTGTTAACGATATGCCTTTGTTTTGAATGCTATGCTGCAGGGCATGCTTTTTTTTTTTTTTTTTTTTTTCCTCTTTAACCCTTGAATACGAGGCAGTAAGGATGAAACCTACTTCTGCAAAGATACATTTGTCTTAAATATCTAGTTACAGGCTCTAGTAGAAACCAGGAAGGAAGAATTATCATCAAGTGCTAAACAAGATAACCACCCATTAGTTGTACAGAGAATTCCTTTATAGTAGCTAAGAGGTTAAAAATAGTCTTTATTGTATTTTAACATCAGACTGATTTTTTAAAACAATATTTTTGTTATTCTAACACTAGATAAAAATTAACTGTGTTGGTAAAAATTTACCTCAAATTATTTACTTTTCAAAATTTTATTTTATTAGTACATTTTGCAGCACACGCATTTTATAATCATCTTGGGAAGCTGGTACTTGTATATAACACAGTTTGTGCTTTCCTCCCCTCTCCCTCCCTCCTTCCTTCTCTCCTCCTCTAGTTCTCTTTTCCTCTTTTCATTCTTGTTGATACTGTTAATCTGGGTTCACGTTTATGGCACATGACATCCACATTCATGGAGGTTGTTAGGACCTTGTACCTGGCACATCTTCACTCTGCCTGTTTCCCCACACCCTCACCCTCACCCTTTGCACTTGGTCCCCTGGACCCCTTCCTGTCTGCAAGAGATCCATTCCCTTGCCTTGTCCTATCCATCCTTTATTTTTCTTTTAGTTTGTTCTTTGCCTTACTCAGATGAGAGATACCACACAGTATTTAATTTTATAGTAGGATCAATCCCAAGCCTTTGGGAGAAGCAAAGTGCACTCCTTTTATGTACCTGGTTCCAGTAAGAATGACCAATAATTTTAACAATTTGGGGCAGGGCACTTATACCAATTTGAAATTTAATGGGTGGTTTGGAGTCATGCTAAATGACTCCATCAGAATGTTAGAAAATACTTTAGGCATCAGTAGCACTGGGACATACTGGAATCTTCAAATTTAAAATGGGAATTGTTTTAAAGACAGCATTCATTTCTGTAATTTTTTCATCAAAAATATTTTGATAAGCATGAGTCTTTTTTAAAAAACTGACTTGGTAAAAGTTTTGAGATTGTCTAACACAATGCTGTGGTAGCATTTAAAAAATGCTTTCTCCTGGTCCTTCACATGAGCCCTACACCTGCAGCACCCATCACTCGGTGGTTCGAAGACTTTCTAACTTTGTTACTTGCATGCCAAAGACTTGCATGACAAAGCTGATACCCTCCAAGTCTAAATGCTTAACAAGACTAAAATTAACTGGACCTGAACAAAATAATGCTACATATTACATAAACGCATTGTGCAAAGGGCCCACCTAACTTGAAACCTTCCTTAGAGACTCCTTGGACAGCAAGCATAATATTAACAGAGTCAATACTTTATGACCACCCTGGATAGTATGCAAATCCCACAAGAAGGAAAACTAAATGTCCACCAACAATGCTTCAAGAGGAATACCTCATACACTAATCAACTCACTCTGTCTCTATGACCCAGAGAAAATGGCAGTATGTGTATATATGTCATGTGTGTGTTTAGCATGTACTGTATATATTGTGTGGGGTCTTCGTCGTATGTGTGACATTTGTATGCCATGTGTATAGGATGTAGTTTGTGTAGTATGTGTGTCATATATGTGTTTGTGTGCATGTATGCACTCTGTGTGTGCACATATATATGTTTATTTATATCTGGTTTTAGTCCTGTAGTCCAGTTCTCTGCACATATTTGTACAATGGTAGCTTGCCTCCCAGCCTCCATTCACCAACACCCATCACACTACCTCTTGGTAGGATTTCAGAGTTCATCCTTGGCTAAAGAACAGGGAAACAAGAAGGCTTCTTCTCTTTCCCCAGAATATTTTTGATCTTGTTTTCTTGTTTTGTTTTGTTTCTGTTTTTGTTTTTTGGTTCTAGGAATCAAACTCAGGACCTTGCACTTGCCAGGCAGGCACTTGTGGTGCTGAGCTATATCCCCAGCCCTCTTGATCTTATACTATACTATTTTCATTATGATCTCTTCTAGTCATATTTCATTTTGATTCCTTCTTCATCCTAATTCTACATTGCATTAGCTAAATCCAAAGCCAGCCACCAAAATATCAGTGTAGGGACAGATAGATACATAGATAGATGATAGATAGATAGATAGATAGATAGATAGATAGATAGATAGATAGATCAATCCAAATCTACCCCTATAAAACCTCTGAAAATAGTTCTTCCTTCAATATCTATCTGGAGCTTCTTCAGAAACTTTAGTTAATCCCAGAAAGTAAAAGATCTCTGCAAAGGAAACTATGCAATACAGATGAACAACATTGAAAAAGGCACAAATAAATGGAAATATATCCCATGTTCATGGATTAGAAGAATTAATATTGTCAAAGTGTCTGTGCTACCCAACCTGGATAAATCTGGAGAACATTACATTAAGTGAAATAAGCCAGATACAGAAAGATAAATACGACATGATCTTAGCCAAATTCAGAATCTAAAAACATTGATCTCAGAGTACTAAGCATGGAGCAATGGTTACCACAAACTTGGGTAGTTAGAGGGGAGAGGCAATAGGAAGATACTGGTCAAGAGATATATAATTCTAGTTAGATAATTAGTTGACTGTCCAGAATAGGGAAACATAGAGGGATAGAAAGTAGATAAGCAACTGCCTGTGACTAAGGGAGGGAGCATGGGCAGGGGAATGATGGATGTCTACTAATAGTTGGGTTTCTTTTATGGAAGATGAAAATGTTCTAAACTGATTGTAATGGTGGGTGCATAATTCTGTGAGCGCACTAAGAAAAACTGAATTATATACTTTAATGGGCGAACTGTATGACATGAACTTTCTATCAATAAAGCTATTTTTTAAAAAAAAAAAAGATGTTTTGTTTAACATATTTTAAAAGCCACAAGTCAGAAAGAATCATGTATCTGGTCTCCAAAACCGAAAATGTCACAGGTATCAAAAGAAAAAAGTGGCTCTAAAAATGATTTTCACTCTACCTAGATTATTTTTACAGGGCTACATTTGTTTTGCCATTGCTGCTTGCCATACAGCGAGGGAAACAAATAGCCTTAGGGAGGACACTTGGTACTGCTGTTACAGGAGAGTAGATAAAATGAATGCTCACCAGTCTTTCCAGGGCTTATCAATATCTCCTCCTCCTGGACTTACTGGAGGATATTATTTCCTTGGCCCTTTGAAATCAGACATTGACATGCCTTGACCATTCACATGTAAGAAGAAGCATCTAAATGTTGGTGCTTGATGTCTTCTATATCTTCTCAGTGCTCAACCCACACTGATTTTTCTCTGCTTTTAAGTTTTTAAACACAAGATATTATGAAATTAATGGATCTCAGATGGATAGAGCTATTAGATATTAGGCCCACAGTATTGAGTTGGAACACTGTAAACATATGCTGCTGTCTCATGTGCCTTTATGCCCTTAGAATTTATGGCAAATAATGTGAATACTGTAGGGGTGTGTGTGTGTTTGTGTGTGATATGAAGCCACAACTAATATAAAAACTATGGTGACAAGTCCTTATCCTTACACCGTAACAGTGATCTTGACCTTTGGAGGCCATGTTTCCCTTTGAAAACACAATAGTCCATCTTACCAAATTTACATATGTAAAAGTATACATGTTGGTGTGCACGCATAGATGCACAGACACACACATGCACACACACTCAGGGTGTTCACAATCCCCTGTTGTCCTCTGTGGAGGCTCATGGTCCAGATGTTTCTACTTTGAAGTTAAAAATTATTGTCCAACAGAGGCAGTAGGGACCACATCACCTGTAAAAGTGCCTAGGCTGACCTACCTGTCAGGCTGAGTTTGCAGAGTAAAGGGAATATCCACAGTGCCCAGATCCACATGGTTTCTGTATTATCTCACAAGGCTGGAGAGCAACCTGAAAGTGTAATCACCAAGACATAGATTACTTCTTGCTTCTTTTCAACAAATGTATTCCACCAACAGATCCTGGGGAACTTGAAGGGGAGAAAGGGTTTTATTTCTATTCTACTGTATTCTATTCTATTGGCTGTCATTACACAGATTCTTTCATAATTACTCCATTAACCCCAGCCAACATTTTAAAGATGTGCTACAATGATGTTTTCATTTTGCCCATAACACTCTCTACTATGTAATACGAAACATACAACCACCACCATGAATATGCTTCTGGAAAACTGAGGGACTATGAACCTGTAGGAACCTGAGACCTTTCTCAGGCCTTTGCCTCAACTTCCAAGCACACCAACTAAATGAAAGACTTCGTTTCCCAAAGTACCACACTATTTCCCATCTGCCTGCTTTGTACATGCCTATAATGCCCCTTTCCCTTTGTAATATCTGAAGATACAGATATACAGATTTTTTTATATACCAGGAATCAAACTCAGGGCCTCATGCTTGCCAGGCAGGCCCTGTGCCCACTGAGCTACATCCCCAGCCCTAGATTGTTTTTTAATGCATGGCTCCTGGCTTAGATCTCCTTCCCAAAGGCAAACCTACAGAAACTACATTTTCCCTGAAGTAGGGAACAGAAATTCTAAATTTCCCCTGCCTTTCCATCTTGAAGCTAGCCCTAATGAAATTCTCTGACCTAGTATTATCTGGTTGTAGGTCTTAAAACTCTCCTCATTCCAGAAAGGTTCTGCTCTATACCCAGGAAGAAGAAATGGTGCACCCACAGGTTTTTCTGGGCTCCTTCACCCAGTCTATTAGCAATGATGCCATGCAATGCAATCTCTATAAAAACCCATATGACAGGGTTCCATGAGCTTCCAGATAACTGAACATGTAGAAGTTCCTGGAGGGGGGCAGAAGCTCCACACCTTTTTTCCCATATCTTGTCCTATGTATCTCTTTATGTGTATCCTGTATAATATCCTTTACAATAAATCAGGCAACTATTTCCCTGCCTGAGTACTATGAGCCACTCAAACAAATTCACTGAACCCAAAGATAGGACTGTTGGAACCCGAATTATAACCAGTTGGTCAGAAGCACAGGTAAAACAATTTGAGGCTTTCAACTGGCAAAAGTAGGGAGGAAAGAATCTTGGGGACTGAGCCTCCAACTTGTGGGACCTTATGCTCCCTTCAGGCAGAAAGGGTCAGAACTGAATTGTATTATATGACACCTCACTAGTGGGCACAATGGATTGCTTATTTGTTGGTGGAAGAAATACCCACACATTTGGTATAAAACATCTTCTGTGTTGATTGTGATGTTAAAAAAATAGAGGAAAAACTAAGAAATGTTGGTTTTTCTGACACACACCTCTATTCCAACAAAGTAATCATCTTCCCAGACTCATCCCAAGGCCAGCTTTTTCTAAGACACCCTCCCTGAATTCCACACAAAGCGGAGAAGTCACTCTCCCCTTTGGGTCCCACAGTCTCCCATGCATCATCTGTGCTCTAGTCTCTGTCACTCTGAATGGTGCTTCGTAGTTTACCTGCTGACTTCCCTCTACACAGGCAGGATTGTGAGGGCGGAGCCTCTCCCATTCCTCTTTGAAGACTTACACTCAAGGCAGAGCCTGTGCAGCAGACATTTAATATCATTTTGTAATTTAATAGTCAAGAACAAAAGGACTACTAGTTTCTCATCTTGTCTCAGATGAGATGGTGGGAAAGCACACATATGAAGCAAACATAAAGTAATAACTCATTTTGGGAAGAAATAAATGATACTAAATTTGCCTTTGGCATATCCTAAGAGAAAAGATAAAGGAGTTCTCAACAAAATAAATTATTTCAGAAAAAGTCACACAACATCTCTGGGGAAAATGTTTTCTCATGTGCAAACCAAGTAGAATACCAAACTAACTGAAAATGTTAATAAATGACAACTTGGATGTATAAGAACAAAATATCATTAATAAAAGAATAGTTATATAACAACAATAGTGAATGCCTAATGGTACTCAGAAAAGTAGTTTTTCTCTCAAGATATAGCCCACTTTGATTCAAATAAGCACAAAACATAAAGGGAAGAGTTATAACTTGTCAATGAACACTAACTTTGTCTTTAAAAATTAATCATAACACTAGTAGCATTTGTGTCACTCAGTGCTTACTAGAGAAACAGATTTAATGCAAGATGTACAAATACACAAGAACTTACAAAATTGACATACAATGGCCTCCCACAGAGCTGGAAAAGTGAAACAGTGTCTGCATGCTAGAGATCCAAAGGATCCAAAGACCTGGAGCTCACTGTACAAATGCATGCAAATGTGAGGCAATACCCAGGAGCTTAGAAATAGGTCCAAGTGAACTCAACCAGTAAAATGTGTGCATAAAAGCGATCCTAGTTATTTGGGGTAAGTAAATGTGGAAATCAAGAGTTTGCATTCACTCAAAACTGCAGCCAGGGAAACATGTATATAATCTCAGAGATCTGGACCTAGAAAATCTTCATTGTCACGTGGTTGCAGAAATCTACTCAACTGATTGCACCATAAAGTGGAAGAAAGAAAGCTTTGAAAGCAGGAAGGAGAGGTCAGTTTAGAAAGTAAAATATTGATGGTTAAAAAGATCAAAGCTGGCAGTTTTAACACAGTACTACCTATAGAAGGAAACTGTGAAATTTCACTGGAGTGATGGACTCTAAATGGGCAGCCAAATTTCCCTCTCTGATTGCTCACATTCTCTGAAGCCTTTTCTGATTACTAAATTAGCAGAAAAAAGAAGCCCAAGACAAGGGATGTGAGCCATCCAATCATTAGAAAGACTGCCCCTCAAGTTTACCAATGTATCAATCTCTTGAAGGCTTAAATGTGGTGAACCATTCTCCCAAATCTGGGTCATAGGAAATCTCAGTGAAGCTGGCTGTGCTCCCAATAAAAACCAGAAACTATTTCCTCCATCCTTGAGCCAACAGTCTTAAATTTTTTTTAATTTTAAAGAGAGGGAAAAAAGCCAATAAAAATGATACAGAATTTCAAAACAAGATGATAGAAAATTAACAATGGTTATTGTATTGCATATTGTTAACTTCAAAGTAGTTGCTCAGATTACCAGATACAGACATGCATGATTGATCAAACAATATAAGCACTAACTTTTAAATTTAGAAATGCAGCAGCTTTGAATAATTGCTTTTCAAAGAGAGATCACTTTCCAGAAGTAGACAGTCCTACATTAGCAGATCTTCACTTGAATACAGCATATAGTAGAGCCTTAGAATTTTCATGCAGCACTTAGAATATGCTGTGCTAGACTAAAGGACACAGTGATGCCACATTAGGTATCTAACGGTATCCTGTCTCTAAGGATATAAACCTACTAGCACCTACCATAGGAGTAGAATGACTGGAAACAAATTCAAGTTACAAATTATTGCTGTGGCTGGGAGCTACTGCCCGTGGTAGTAGATGCTGCAACTTTTAGCAGTTTAAATTATCCTTGCCTCCCTACGTCCCTACTCGTACAGCTACTGTGAAGGAGCTAAAATATGGCTCTTTTACTCCCTAGCAACCCCCCATTACATGTTCTCTCCACCCCCACTCTGCCACAGCTGCCCTCTAGCAATTCAGTTCCCACTCAAGTAAGTATCTGGATGATCAGCTTCATCAAATTCACTTGTACAAAACTCCACAACCATGTAATTTTCCCAGGGCTTTCCTTCATTCAGTCATTTATGTAACTAATATAAACTGATGCCCATTTTATGCTAAGCACAGTACAGTAAACCTGTAAACTAAGTCCTACTGGTCTCTGAAAAATTCTGAGGGACTGAGTGAGGCTGGTCAGACTGCAGCTTGCTGCTCCCCTACCCCACCCCTAGTGTTAGCAGTCTACAGGTACTTGAATCTATGGCCGGAGTACTGTTCCTAAAATCTACTCTCTCTCTCTTTTGCCCATTTTTTAAAATGCTATCTCATACTATGAGAAACAAGCAGACAGCTGCCCAACCATAGCTGTCCCCACAGAATTTCTTATAGACTAGTAGGATTTGGTGTATAATTTTATTTTAACTGACCAAATAGAGGGGTCCTCTGCTCTCACTCTCTATTAAATGTTAACTTGGAGCCTGCAATAATAATAGTAGCAAAAACAGTGGCCTGAGATTTACAAAGCTTTTTCATAAATATTTTCTTATTATGTCCTTTCTGACCTTTGAAGTAAACAGGGCAGATATTGTAATATTTTATATCTGTTTACATTTGTGGGTTTTTTATTTTAAAGTTAAAAAACTAGCAAAACAGCAATGAAGACAAAATCAAAACAACACAAAAACAACAAAAATGATACATGACCACAAAACAAAATGATAGGAATTG